GCACACCTTCTTGTCCTGAAAACCCGCAGCAGCAGCAGCAGCAGCAACAGCAGCAGCAGCAGCAGCAGCAACAGCAGCAGCAGCAGCAGCAGCAACGGCAGCAGCAGCGACAGCAGCAGCGGCACAGTCAAGGCCAAGCTACAGGGAGCGCCAGAGCCGACACCTCAAACAGCTAGCTAGGCAGTAGCTGACAAGCTAGATGGTAGCTAGCTGGCTAGCTAGCTAGCTAGCTAGCCAGACAGCTAGCCAGCTAAGTAGCCAGATAGCTAGCCAGCTAGCCAGTTAGATAGCTGCAAAGCTAGCCAGACAGCTACCCAACAAACCACCTAGCTGTCCGCCTAGTTAGCTAGCTACCCATACAGCTAGCTAGCTAGCTAGCTAGCCAGTCAGCTAGCCACCATCTAACTAGCTAGCCAGCCAACCAGCCACCATCTAGCTAGCTAGCTAGCTCCCACCTAGCTAGCTGGTTAGCCACCTAGCTAGCCAGTTATCCACCTAGCTAGCCATGCCAGCTAGTCACCTAGCCGGCTAGCTAGCCAGCTGGCCATCTGGCTGGCTACCTAGCTAGCTAGCTAGCTGGCTAGCTAGCTAGCTAGCTAGCTAGCTAGCTAGCTAGCTAGCTAGCTAGCTAGCTAGCTAGCTAGCTAGCTAGCTAGCTAGCCATGCTTGCCTTGAGAAGGGCCTTGAGTCTGTCTCCAGTGGCCTCCGCCTGCTGCCGCCCCAAAGGGGTGAGGCCCTGGGCCTCGTCATCTGCTGCTTCAGAGCTTTCGAACTGGCCTAAGCGCAGCACACTTTGCTGCTGCTGCTGCTGCTGCTGCTGCTGCTGCTGCTGCTGCTGCTGCTGCTGCGGCTGCTGTGGCTGCTGCTGCTGCTGCTGCTGCGGCTGCTGCAGGTGTAGCGAGAAAGGGGGAAGGGCTCACCGTGTCGGATCAGCAGGATGTGGCGCGTGTACGGCTGCCGCTGCTGCTGCTGCTGCTGCTGCTGCTGCTGCTGCTGCTGCTGCTGCTGTGCTGCTGGCCTCCACGCTGCATCCCACTCGGGGTCCCAGGCCCCCTCCTCTGTCTTTGCTGTCTTCATGCCCCCGAAGAAACTGCAGCAGCACAACAAAGGCCTAGGGTTTAGGGTTTAGGGTTTAGGGTTTAGGGCTGCTGGTCAAACTCCCTCAGTGTGGTTTACCGCATTTGAGGTGTACGTACACTGGAAATAACATTGTTAAAAATAAATAAATGAAAATAATAAATGCAAATGCTGCAGCAGCAGAAAGAAGTGTTTATAAACTTATTAAGAAGCAGCAAATCCATTAAAGAAAGACAAACCCTGCTGCTGCAGCAAACGCCACGAGGGCCCCCAGCAGCGGCAGGGAGGGGCCCCCCGGGGGGCCCCCCTCACTGCTTTGCTGCTCATCTGGAGGCAGCTCGTTTGCTGCTGCTGCAGTGTCTGCTGCTGCTGCTGCTGCAGCAGACGCCTCAAGCTCCGCTGTGTTCGCAGCCGCAGCAGCAGCAGCAGCAGCCGCTGCTGCTTCCTCCGCCTTCGCTGCTGCTGTTTCTGCTGCTGCTGCTGCTCGGTCTCCTGCTAGGCCCCTCATAGACAAACGCATGCAACAAAACGGCGCTGCAGTGGGGCCCCCAGGGGGGCCCCCAAGGGGGCCCCTAGGGGGCCCCCTAGGGGGGCCCCTAGGGGGGGCCCCCAGCAGTACCCTCATATGGTTGGGGGCCCCCAGCTTGGGGGGCCCCCAGCTGCAACGTTTCCCAGTGTGCCAAATCTGCAGCAGCCTAGCAGCAGCGGCGCTGCTGCGCAGCTTCATTGCTGCTGTTTGTTGTAGCTGCTGCTGCTGCTGCTGCTGCTGCTGCTACTGCTGCTGCTGCTGCTTCTGCTGCGGCTTCTGCTGTTTCCGCTGCTACTTCTGCTGCTGCCGCTAGTGCTTTCGCTGTTGCTGCTAATACTGCTTCCGCTGCCGCTGCTGCTGCTGCTGCTGCTGCTCCTGCTGCTGCTGCTGCTGCTGCAGGTGAACAGGCAGCAGCAATTAGTCCTCAAGGGTCTTTCAGAGTTTGGGTCACAGCCGCAAGCAGCAACGCGCCGGGGGCGGCGGCGCGCAGTTCATGCTGAAACGGGAAGCAAATAAGGAAATAAATGAAAAATAAATAAATAAATAAATAAATTCGACTCAAATAAAGCCACTTAATTACAATTATAATGCAGCTTTCGATAAAACTAAAGCACGCCGAAGCCCCGCTGGCTGGTGGCTGCCGCTGGCCGGCCGAGGTGTACGTACACCTCAACAGTCGCGCGAAAGGAACAAAAAAGAATAAATAAAGATAAATAAAAGAATAAAATAGTTTAAATGGATTTAATTTGCGGGTTTTCACTTTTCAAAGCCCCGAAGTATTAATTCAATTGCAGAAGATCCCCAGATCCAGCTTCCCCCGGTTCTCAACAACCCCCGATGCCTGAGGTGTACATACACCCCAGAAACTGCGCTTTTCCCTTCTTTTTCCAGCTCCATTCTTTGAATCACTTTTGTCCTTTTGAGTTTATTTAAGGTCTAATGCTCAACAGAAGATAAGGGGGGTTTGGGGGCCCCCCAGGGGCCCCCAGCTCCTGAACCCTGCGCCGCAGACGCTAAACCCTAAACCCTAGGCCCTGAACCCTAAACCCTAAACACTAAAACCTAAACCCTAAACCCTAGAGCTTAAGCAGTAATCTCTGCGCTCTAGGTAGGGGATTCCGACTGTGTTGAACTGGGTTTTCGGGGGTTCTAAACCCTAAACCCTAAACCCTAAACCCTAAACCCTAAACCCCAAACCCCAAACCCTACACTAAGAATGCTTCGGAGCTGATTTTAACCTTCTACATATGAGGCTCTTAACAGCAGCTGGGGTGTACGTACACCTCAGTACCTGCTGCCGCAAAGCCTTCTCCACAGGAGCAGCAGCAGGAGCAGCAGCAGCAGCAAGGGAGACAGCAGCGGCAACAACAGAGGAGGCAGCAGCAGCAGCAACACGAGCAGCAGCAGCAGCAACACGGGCAGCAGCGTCAGCAGCAGCAGCGCCTGCAGAATCCTCTCCACTGGCAGCAGCAAAAGCAGAGACGCGTGAGCTCGCCGCCTCAACCGAAGCAGCAACAGCTGCAGCAGCAGCAGCAGCAGCAGCAGCAAGAGCAACGCCAGCAGCAGCAGAAGCAGATGTCCCGGCAGCAACAGCAGCAGCATCAGCAGCAGCAGCACCACGCCTAGCCCCAGCTGCAGCAGCAGGAGCGCCCTCAGCGACAAGGCCAACAGCAGCAGCAGCAGCAGCAGCAGCAGCAGCAGCAGCAGCAGCAGCAGGCTGCAGCAGGATGTCCTCGGCTCCTCCCGGGGCCCGCCTGCTGCTGGCAGATGCTGCTGCTCGACTGCAGCAAACCAAAAATATAAAACCGCAGCAGCTTTCCATGTGGCTGCGCAGCGTGCATGTGCTGTTCTCCTTTAAAGAGTCAGCTCCCCTGCTGCTGCTGCTGCTGCTGCTGCTGCTGCTGCTGCTGCTGCTGCTGCTGCTGCTTGAGCTGCTGCTGCTGCCACGCGTGCTACTACTGCTGCTGTGTGTGTGCTGCTGCTGCTGCTGCTTGTGCTACTACTGCAGCCGCTGCTGCTGCTTTGCTGCTATTGCTTTCGTTGCTACTGGCGCCTGCTGCTGCTGCTGCTGCTGCTGCAGCTTTTACTGCTACTGCTGCAGCTACTGCTGCTGCTGCTGGTCTTGCTGTCTCTTCACTCACCTGTTCCTTTAATTCATTTTTTTTGTTTGTTTTTATTTTTAATTAATTTATTTTTATTATTTCTTTTGCTTTTTAGGTATTTTCTGCTGCAGCAGCAGGCCTTTTTTATGCTGCCGCTAGTCCGCTTCATGAGGCCCGCAGAAGCAGCAATGTTGGCTCACCATGCTTCTTTTTTTCTTAGCAGCAGCAGCAGCAGCAGCAGCAGCAGAAGCAGCAGCAAAAGCAGCAGCAGCAGCAGCAGCAAGAAGGTCAGCGGCGGTAGTGGGCCGAGGCGGCAGCAGCAACGGCGCGAGCAGCTGCAGCAGCAGCAGCAAGGGCACGAGCAGCAGCGACAGCAGCAGCAGCAGCAGCTGCTGCTGCAGCAGCAGCAGCAGCAGCTGCTGCAGCAGCAGCAGCAGCAGTGGTGGGACTGCTTCTGTGAAGAGGTGCAGCAAATCCTCCAAGACGCAGACGGAAGAGAAACTGCGATGCTGCTGGCAGCAGTTGCGCGCTCTGAGGTGTACATACACCTGAAGCCTAGGGGCCTCCTTTGCTGCTGCTGCAGCAAAACAGAAATAAATAAAAATTAATTAATTAAAAATAAAAAAGAATAAAAAGAGACAAATTAAGAAAAGACAATCAAGAAGTGATGAGCAGCACACGCTTTTTCAGTTGCATTGAAGAAACCCTAAATTGCTGCTGCTGCTGCTGCTGCTGCTGCTGCTGTTGCTGCTGCTGCAGACGCAGCAGCCGAAGCTGGTCCGAGTTCTTCTTGCTGAAGCTGCAGCATGGGCAGCAGATAACACTCCAAGAGACAACTCTCTCATTCGTGTGTCTGCTGCTGCTTCTGTCCGTGGTGCTGCTGCTGCTGCTGTCACTGCTGCTGCTGCTATCACTGCTGCTGCTGCTGCTGTTATTGTCTCTGCTGCTGTCACTGCTACTGCTGCTGCTCTTTCTTCTCCTGGTACTGCTGCTGCTGGTGTCCCTGGTGCTTCTGCAGCAGCAGTCGTCATTTGTGCTGCTGCTGCAGCTGCCACTGGTGTTGCTGCCGCTGCTGCTGCAGCTGCCACTGGTGTTGCTGCCGCTGCTGCTGCTGCTGCTGCTGCTCTTAGGCGAGAGCCACGGATTAGGGTTTGGGCTGGCTATGGGGCTAAGGGCAGCAGCAGATTAATGTTTTTGTGTCTGCTGCTGCTGCTGCTGCTGCTGCTGCAGTTTATTCTTTGGGGAAGATCGGCTGCAGCAGCAGCGAGGCAGCAGTTGTTGCAGTGTGCGCAGCTCTAGTGGCGAAGCAGCAGCAGCTGAATCACGTAGACTGCTGCATGGCCAGTAAGCAAACCCTAAACCCTAAACCCTAAACCCTAAACCCTCACGGTGGCCCTTGAGCGACTGCGTGCGGATGGACATGCAGAGAACAAAGCGCTCTCTTTGAGCAGCAACAGCACCCAGAGTTTAGGGTTTAGGGTTTGGGGTTTGGGGTTTAGGGTTTAGGGTTTAGGGTTTAGGGTTTAGGGTTTGGCGTTTGCTGCAGTCCATGGTGCTGCGCGTCTCAATGTTCGAGACAGCAACTTTTTCGGCTGTTTGCTGCAGCAGGCTTCGAAGCTGCTGCAGCAAATGAACGAACACAACCTTTCTATGATCAGCAAGCAAACCCTAAACCCTAAACCCTAAACCCTAAACCCTAAGCCCTGCAGCTGCGCAGCCCGTGCCTGCCCCGAGCCGCAGCGCCAGAGTTTGCTGCAGCAGCAGCCAATAAAACCCACGCTAGAGCTCCCCTCCACTCCCTAGGGTCTAGGGTTTAGGGTTTAGGGTTTAGGGTTTAGAGTTTAGGGTTTAGGGTTTAGTGTTTAGCTGTGCTTCAGTTTGGGGTTTGGGCGCCGTGGGATTCCGGGAGCCAAATTTTCTTTCTGCTGCTGCTGAACATCTGCTCAAAATATGCAAAGCGTAGGTTGCAGTGAGGGTTTAGGGTTTAGGGTTTAGGGTTTGGAGTTTGGGGTTTAGGGTTTGGGGTTAAGGGTTTAGGGTTTAGCGTTTGTTTCCCTTTTGCCCTTAATACTAGTCTCCCTCCGTCTCCATTCCCTTCGCCTTCTCGCTTCACCCGCTGCTGCTGCCGCTCCTGCTCCTGCTGCTGCTGCTGCTGCTGCTGCTGCTGCTGCTGCTGCTGCTGCAGGAGGCCTGTGGCGGCTCGCTACTTGTGTCCGCTGCTGTGGGGTTTCGGCCGCTTGAGTTTTGCTGCTGCTGCAGTTATTTCTTTCTGCGACTTTGCGCTGCGCAAAGTCGAGCGCTTCCAGCCCCAAGACTTGTGTCTTGCATGCGCGGGTGCCCCAAACCCTAAACCCTAAACCCTAAACCCTAAACCCTAAGCTCTAAGCTTTGTAGTTTGAAAGGGGACTGTGTTCGTGGCCTCCGCACTTTCCAGACGCTCCAGGTCGCCAGAACAAGTGTACTGCTTTTGCTGCTACTGCTGCTGCTGCTGCTCTTCCTGCTGCTGCTGCTGCTGCTGCAGCAGTGGCGCGCCTGGGGCTGCGTATAGAGACGCAGCCACGCGTGGGACTGCTGCTGCAGCACTTGGGGAAGCTGCTGCAGCAGGGAGCCATAAGGGATCCGAAGCAGCTAGCGACTCTCGTGGCCGTAAGTCACACGGGACTGCTGCTGTTGCTGCTGCTGCTGCTGCTGCTGCTGCTGCTTAAACTACTTGTGTGGGGCAAATGCTGGCAATAACACTGACAATCAAAGACAAAAAATAATAAATAACAATAACAATAATAATAATAATAATAATATAATAATAATAATCATAAAGTAATAATAAATAGCAATAATAGCAATAGTATTATTAGTATTATTACGATATAATAGTAATAATAATAATAAAATTATCATTATAATTTTGACAACAACAACAATAATAATAATAATAAATAAAATATTATTTTTTGTCTGCAGGCGGGTCACTCAGTGGACCCCGGGGTAACAGTGTCTGCCTTTTGGGCGTTTCTTTTTCCTCTTTTGGCATCAAAGTGAGAAAATAAAAGTGAATAAATAAAAATAAACAAAAATAAACATTAAATAATCAAAAAGAATGAAAAATAATGGAGAAATAGCCTTTTCCGGAGAGTCCCAGACGGCCTCCAGCAAATGCTGCGGTGTACGTACACCTGGTGGACATGCACTGCATGCGCACAAAGGCACTTCGAAATTTGAAATAATTAAAATCCATTTCTTTGCATTTTGAGGCTCTAAAGATGCCTTTAAATTGCCAAATTAAAGTATTTTATCCCTAAAAGTATTTATTTCGTCTTCTTTCGTGAATCTGGAGAAATAAACGACGCAAAAACGCATGCAAGTTGCAGTGTATGTACACTCCGCGAATCTTTTCGCCTCTACTCGCCTCTGCAGCTTTGTGCACAAAGTGCCCAATCTGCAGTGTACGTACACTCTAAATGTTTGCAAGAAAAGAACAATTTGCATTTTTATTTTCTTCA